GAGAGAGAGAGAGAGAGAGAGAGAGAGAATTGATTATTCATAATTTATTATTAATTTTGTATATATAATATGTGAAATTAATTATTTTTTATTAATTTTTTATATGGCATATAATCCATACATTCAATAAAATAATTATAACCATATTTATAAATAAAATTAATTTATCTATTAATGTTAATTGAAAAAGTATTAAATATTATCTATGAACTAAAAAAAATCTCTTTTCATCCCTAATTAATATAATATTGATAAAAATATTATATAAAATAATTAATAAAGAATTATTATAATTTAGAGCGAGCACTAAACTTAAACTAACATGATTAATGATTACAGTGGTCCATTATAACACTGAGTCACATCTTTCGTTCCGAATATAGTAACATAAATGCGTAATTTCAAATAAAAATATTATTTATAGTAAATACATATATATATATATATATATATATATATATATATTAATTTCAACCTAGTTTAGTAGTTTATCAGATAGATATCTTTAATTACTTGCGAGGGATACTTGAAAATGAAACTGTTAAACAAAGTGAGTAGCTTGTGTGTTCGACTTGATTTTCTAATAATCGAGTTCGGCTCGACTGTTTTGATAAAAGAGTTAAATTAGATTTCTTAACGAGTCAGACTCAACTCAGATCATTACGGTTCAGATTTTTTATTAGTAAGATATATTCAACGGTCAAAATAGAAATGCAGTTGAAGTGGTTGCCTACAAAAATTCAATAAATATCTGTAACAAATAACAATCCAACTGAAATTAAACAGTTAACACTTAACACCAAATAAGATAAAGTTTTGAACTAAAAAAAAATATCGTAATAAATAAAGACAAGCGAAAAAAGGGTCGATCAGCTTTGACTGAGGTGAAGCCAGGCTGGAGGCCATTACCTTTATTTATTATTATTATTTCAAAATTTAAATAAATAATTAAATAAAATAAATAAGTAACGGCCGCACGGATCTGCTGACGTGGCTAATAACGACAAGATTGGTCGCCAAAACGTTACTGCAAACCTGACACGCCAGCCTGTAGATTAATATTCTAATCAGGTAACCGATAACCGGTGTTCCCGGTTAGAATGTGGCCTGTACGGATTAATGAAATGTGTGGTGGGTCCACTCGCACGCTTTTCGTGTCCTGCGACCGCGGGGAGCGGTTTCCAGTGACCTTCCTAAATTATAATTAAATCGATTAAAAATTAAAATATTAGGGACTTAATAAGTGTAGTTAGTTTGGTGATATATTATATTATATATATACTATATGATTTGTTTGATATTCTTTGATGACTTCTATTAACGTTTGATGCCAGCCCGAATAAATTTGGCCATGTAAATTGACTAAAGAATTTTTTTTATAAAGTTAGAACATATTAATAAAGATATCTTGTAGTCATCA